TTTTCTATTTATTCTGTGTAGAGGTCAAAGGTCAGAGGTCAGCTTTCTGAAGTTGGGTCTTTCCCAAGTATCCCAGAGATCCCTGTCACAACCAAGCAAGCAAGCAAGCAAAAAGAACACAACCAAAACCCAGAAATACTAACGATGTCCCAGGTGGAAAGTGCACAAAATTTTCAGAAAACTGCATCACCGGAACTTTCCTTCAGTCTTTGAACAAGGCACGGAGGGAACGTCAACGGCCGAAAAGGCAGCTGGGAAATATCCACAAAACAGCAGGACGGGCTGCCTGGAGCCGCTCAAGGGCCAGGCCTGCACTGGGATCAGTCCTGCGCTGAGGGGACCATGGCCCCTGAGGACATCTGGACTGAAGTACCACTGGCTTCAGATGGGGGTGCCCGGGCCCCTCTTCCCAGACTTCCTGGTTTATCAAGGCGACTTCTTTGCTGGCCTGGGAGGAAAGTTCTATCACCTGGTCAACGATCCTGTGGACAGAGGAAAGAGAAGGGACAACTTTGTCTGTGGCCAAGAACTCTAATGGAGCCCTTAGAAAAGCAAACGTTAAAAAGATCTTTATTTTGTTGTGCAGAGCTTACAACTTACAGGAGTCAGGTCTCTCCTGAATGTAGGTCCTGGGGACTGAACTCAGGCCACCAGGCTTTGCTTGCTGAGCCACCTCAGGACCCTAGTGGTGTCTTTGGAAGTGAGCAAGGGTTATACAGTAGGGCAGAGTGCTTGCACCAGCTGCAAACTTGGTGGGTGTGCATATGTCTGCATATATGTACCCACACGTGCATATGTCTGCATATATGTACCCACACGTGCATATGTCTGCATATATGTACCCACACGTGCATATGTCTGCATATATGTACCCACACGTGCATATGTCTGCATATGTGTTCCCACACGTGCATGTCTGCATATGTGTACCCACATGTGCATATGCCTGCATGTGTACCCACATGTGCATATGTCTGCATATGTGTACCCACACGTGCATATGTCTGCATATGTGTATCCACATGTTGCTGCAGACAGAACCAGGGCCTTGTGTGTGCTGGGAAGAACTCTGACCAAGTTCCCTCCACGCTGAGCAGGCAAGAGTTATGCAGACAGGGTCTCACTAGCATGCTGGCATCAGGCAGCCTTGACTGCACGCCTTCCTCCTCCTCTCCCAGACCACCGCTTGACTGGGACCTTGGTGCACATGCGCTCCCACTCTAAACAGCGGGCAGACTTTATGTGAGGAGATCCTTTGGGGTCAGGCCAGAGGTGAGATTCAGTCCACCACCACATGGCCATGCCCTCTGTCTGTCCCTTTATACAAGGGCAGGTGGTATCTGCAGGCTTTAATAGCCACTAGGTGGCAGAGGGCACAGACCAAGTGCAGGTACCGTGCTGGCCAGATAGTAGTCACAGCATGAGAGACAGCGCCCATCCTTGGCTCCCTGTGAGTGGTGGCTGATCTCTCCAGTGGGACAGTCCCTGAAAGTCCTTCAGGCATTTCCTCATTTAGTACTGTGAGAGCAGATGGAGCAAGATTCTTTTGGGGTGTCCAAAATGGTTTGGTGGGTGAAGGTGCTTGCTGCCAAGCCTGCCTGACAAGCTCAGTTTGATTCCTGGCCCCACACAGTGGGAAGAGAGAACGGATTCCCAAAGCTGTCCTCTGTCCTCCACACTCACGCCCTGGTATGGATGTGACCAAACACGTAAGAATGGGGTGTGGCGGTGCATTTGCCTGCCATTTTAGAACTCTGCATGCTGAGGCGGGATTGCTTCAAGTTCAATGGCATACTGGGTTCCTTAGTGAGACTGTCTCAGAGAAACACAAAACCGCTATGTCCCTCAAGAAACCCCAAACTGGCCAGGTGGTGGTGCCACACACCTTTAATCCCAGCACTCAGAAGGCAGAGGCAGATGGATCCCGGAGTTGGGAGGCCAGCCTGGTCTACAAAGTGAGTTTCAGGACAGCCCAGGCTACACAGAGAAACCCTGTCTTGAAACAAAACAACCAACCCACAGGAAACCCCAAAGCATCCTGCTTAGCAGGTCCTGGATTCTGGACGACGTCTAGCGTGTGTTGAGCACCTGTCTGCTCAGGAAAGGCTCCCTCCGCCCCTGCTGGCCGTGCTTTGCTGTCTAGGGCAGGAGGATGAGCACAGGGTGCCCTCCCCTCCCTCCCACGGTGGTCTCAGGTCGCTACTGTCTCCAATCCTATTTTCCTGGACTCTGCATAGTATGCATCTATGGCTTCATTGCATCTGCACCCATATCTCAGAAATCAGAAGCAGGCTGGAAGCTGAACAGCCAGGAGCACCACAGCCTGGCCACTGTGGCAGTGTGGAGGCTGCGGACACTCAACAGCAGAGCCCCCAAAGGCTGGCTGCCTAGAAAGAACCAGCCTTCACCAGAGATACAATTGGGTGGGGTTCCATCTCCAGCACCCCAACTGAAAAGAAAGGGAGGATGGAGGAGGAGGGCTAGGCATGGAGGAAGCGGGGAGAGACACGTAGGGGAGGGATGAAGGGGAGACGGGGAGGCGTGCCCCATACCTGCGGAGCTCCAGGTCTTTCCTCATGGTCAAGTTCCTGAGCTCCTCCAGCAGGCACGGCTCCTGTACACTGGTATCCGGGGAGCAGATGCCCAGCTCGCCCAGGAGCTGCAGGGTGGTCCTCAGGGCCGGCTGCAGATCATCTGTGGAGACAGAGGCTGCTAGCAGGACGCTGGTGCCCGAAGCAACAGCCGCTTGTGCTCTGTGGGGCTGGCTCTTCTCTCAGACGCAGGGAGCTGGGGCGGGGGCGCAGAGGGACCCATCAGATGTCACTTGTCCCTGCAAGTGTGGGCACCAAGGGCGCGCTGGTAAGGGAAAGCCAGTCTGAGTGCACAGGTGGCGCCTGCCCAGGAGGCCCTTGGGGACCAAGCGGGCTGAGGCTGCAGCTGCTGCTCTGCTCTCGGTCTGTCTTCCACTGTGAGCTCACAAGCCAGATGAACCGCCAGATGTGGCCTGGACCTGCAGATCCAAACCGCTGAGACTCTGGCACCTGCAGCAGCCACAGTGTCCAAGGCACAGGCTGGCCCCACACGTTTGCTCCTTGCACGTCGCCTGCAGGTCTGTGCCGAGTACAGCATGGCAGCTGTGGGAGGCTTGGTCGGAGGATGGACGGATGCAGGTTCCAGTCTTCCAGCTGTGAGGTTTGCAGCTTGGGTTGGAAGCCCTGACTCAGCTGCCTGTGTTTTTTTTTTTTTTTTTTTTTTTTGGTTTTACGAGACAGGGTTTCTCTGTATTGTTTTGGAGGCTGTCGGTCCAGCCTGGCCTCGAACTCACAGAGATCCGCCTGCCTCTGCCTCCCGAGTGCTGGGATTAAAGGTGTGCGCCACCACCGCCCGGCCAGCTGCCTGTGTTTTACCCACACTGGGGAAGACATGGTTCCAATACCACCCCAGGGCAGAGACACTTAGGTAGGATATGGTGCGTGTAGCCTGGGCTCCTTCCTACAGCAAGGCTGTTCCTACCTAGGAGCTCCTGCCCGCTTCCCGGCACGTGGATGGCCTGCATGGGCAGCTCGTGTTGAGTGGTATCCAGGGCTGTGGCCAGTGTCTTGTATTGTTCCTTGAATCGCTCTGCCACGGCCTGGAAAGGGCTCAGCAGCTCTATCTGCAGGCAGAAGGGGACACTGAAAGACAGGTGTGCTCACCCACATGAGTACCTGGATGGAATGGGCCTTGCATGTGCTAAGCCCAGCTCTGTGCTGCAGTCTCAGCCCCACGGGCCAGCCTGCAGCCTCTGGGTTTCCTGGCCACAGGACAGTCACAAGGTTGGAGGCTGGCTTTGGCAGCTGGTCCAAGGAAACAGGATCCCCTCCGACCTGCCCTGGATGGGACAGCAGCTGGTTTTCCTGCCATCAGAGTCTGCACATTGTGTGGCAGACAGGTGTCCACTCTAACACAAGGAGCCTAAGCAGGGCGGGCAGAAGGCAAGCGGTGACACCCTGACCCTTGCTGCCTCACGCACCTCTGGCTGCAGGGCACACTCAGACCCACCTGGGCATCCAGCATGGCAGTCAGCTCCTGATGTTTCTGCTGGAGTAGCAGCTGGCGCCGCAGCTCCAGCACCCGCCGCTGCAGCCTCTCCTTCTCACAGCACATGGCGGCCAAGTTCCTCCCAGCCTTCTCCTCCAGCAGAGCCAGGTTGTTCTCCATCTGTGGGCGCAAGAGCAGCTCAGGCGGGGGGGGGGGGGGGGCGCACAGGACGGGGACGGGGACACAGAGGACAGAAGACACACTGGTGCGCAGGGCCAGCTGTGCTCACCTTCACAGACAGCAGGGTCAGCAGCAGGGTCTGCGACTCCATCACGTCCAGGGTCTTCTGGAGATCCTGCAGGGGTCCAGCGAGCTTTTCAGGTCCCAGTCAGCCATGGTAACCCCGACCCCTGTGTACTTTATAGGTTCAAATAGAAGCAGCACCCACAGGACTGGGGTGGAGCCACGGCTCATTTTGACCAGGAACTGTATGAGTGTCCCCCACTCAGTATGTGGGCACACTGACCCACAGACACCACAGTCCTGGCCTCCATCCTGGAGCCACAGCTGCTGAGAGTCAGACCTACCCACTGCCCGAACCCCTGTGCTCACCCGTCTCCTCTTGTGAAGGGTTCTTTTCTTCTGGAGAGTGGTAGACAAGTCGGCTTCCTTCGACATTGTCCTGTCTAGCTGGGGAGGCTTCCTGAACACACTTTTGTCTAAAACAGACCATTTCATTTATTTAAAAGTCTTTCACTTGTTTTTAGGAGGTGTAGTCCAGATCGGCCTAAGACTTAATCCTCCTGCCCCAGCTGGGGCTTCCGGCTTGTGCCGCCTTTAAGTGGCCAATAATAGGATAGGTGCCTCTCGATTCGTGACTCAGACTGTCACAAGTGGGAGACGCCACCCTCCACCCCAGCACCCGGGTCCTCACACTGCTTGCGACTGAAGCCCTGCCCGGGACCTGCTGCCCTGGGAGGGTCAGACCCACGCTGCCAGTTGGGACCACACTGGGACCCACACACAGTCCCAGGTCTGAGGTGCCTGAAAAGCAGAGGCTGCTCTCTCACAGCAACAAGGGCTACCCAGGGGAGCCATCCTTACAAGCTCAGCCCAGGAGGGGCTAAAAGAAAGCACTCACCGTTGATGACTGAGGGGTCTAGGTCGGGTGGAGCCTTGTCATGTCCCTTCAGCACGGTGGACTGCAGGTCTCCTCTTCCTGTCACCTGGCTGTCTTCTGCCCAAAGAATGCCACGGTCAGGGCCATGGACCCGCACCCCTTGCTGCAGTACTGCTTGGGGCCCCCAGGACTGTTTCTTACAGGTCTGTGGGTGCTGGGCTCTGTCTGTGAGCTCCATAGCTAAGGTGTAGGGCACTCCTCAGCTCTCCTGTCCACACTTACAGAACCATGAGCTCAGCAAGTCTCTTCAAATGTCTTCTTTTAGACTTTTAATGTTTTCTTTTATTTTTAAAGGTTTATTTATTACATATATAGTGTTTCTGCCTGCATGTATGCCTCCACACCAGAAGACAGTACCAGATCTCATTATAGGTGTCTGTGAGCCACCATGCGGTTGCTGGGAATTGAGCTCATAACCTCTGGAAGAAAAGCCAGTGCTCTTAACTTCTGAGCCATCTCTCCAGCCCCATCTTTTGTTTTTAATAAGTTATTTACTGTGGTAAGTCAGACTTTTGTGACACTACTGTCCTAGGGATGGAACTCAGGTCACCAGGCATGCTGCCAATGCCTTTACTGGCTGAGCCCCCTCCCAGGGGAGAAGCCTCTTCTGTTCTTTTTCTTCCATCCGTCCTTCCTTTCTTTTGTTTTTTAGAGAGAGGGTTTCTCTGTAGCTTTGGGGGCTGACCTGGAACTCTCTTAGTAGACCAGGCTGGCCCTTTTTTATTCTTTTAAGTCTTATTTTTGCTGGTTGGTGGCACACACCTTTAATCCTAGCACTTGGGAGGCAGGGCAGGTGGATCTCTTTGAGTTCAAGGCCAGCCTGGTCAACAAAGCAAGTACCAGGACTGACTCCAAAAGCTACATGGAGAAATGCTGTCTCAAAAAAACAAGCAACAAACAAACCAAACAACCCCTACCTCTTTTCTTTTCTCTCCCTCTCTCTCTTCTGTTTTTTTGAGACAGATTTTCTCTGTATTGGTATGGAGGCTGTCCTGAAACTCGCTCTGTAGACCAGGCTGACCTCAAACTCACAGAGATCTACCTGCCTCTGCCTCCCTCGTGCTGGGATTAAAGGCATGCGCCACCAACGCCCAGTTCCCCTGCTCCTTTTCTAAGACTTATTTATTAGATATATTCCTGCAGGCCAGAACAGGGCCCCAAATCTCATTACAGATGGTTGTGAGCCACATGTGGGAGCTGGGAATTGAACTTAGGTCCTCTGAAAGAGCAGCTAATGCTCTTAACCTCTGAGCCATTTCTTTAGATCCTAAGATCTGCTGAGCCTTCTCTCTAGCCCCAACAAATTTCTTCTCAGAAGAGCAAATTCCTACCAATCATAATTTAGTGGCACATATCTTTAGTCCTGCTCAGGAGGCAGAAGCAGGTGAATCTCTACAAGTTCCAGGACAGTCAGGGCCACACAGTGAGACCTTGTCTTAAAAACAAACACACACACACAAATCTGGCAACTCCCCAGGCACAGGTATTCTGTTGCAGCCACAGAAACAGACTAAATGGCACCATGGATGTTGTTGGTCCTAGTGTGTCTCCTTTGTGGTGCTGAAGATGGTCACATCCTTCCCTAGCTGGGCAAGCCTGGGCTGACTATAACCAACAAACCACAATTTTGTAATTTCTAGAGATAAACAAAAATCTATTCCAAGTGGTGAGCTGAGAGGTGGGGGGGCTCGTTTAGTGCCGTTACAGCAGCGGTGTGCGTCCACAAGAGTCAAGCTTCATTTTCTACAGTCAGGCGTAGTGCTGACAGCAGCCTTTCCATGGTCCTGGAGCTGTGAAGTCAGTCGCTCCTGTGCTCAAGACCCCACCCAGCACTCAGGAATTCAGGGCTATCCTCAGCTACAAGGCAACTTCTGGGCCAGCCTTGGGTACATGAATGAGACCCTGTGTTAAAAATGGGATGGTTTGGCTGGCTGGCTGAGCCTGATGATGGGTTCTATCCCTGGAACTTGAAGGAAGCTGAAAGGAGAGGACACCACATGTGCCAAGGTGACAGAGCAGCTACCAATAACGACCAATGAAATAATAAAAAAGAAGTTTATCAGCTCTGATACTGCTGACCCTGTGCACAAAGGGCTCAAGCAGCAGCTGTGGCTCCATCCACCAAAGGCCAAAAGCCAAATACAATGTCTGCATCTACCAGTATCTGTTAAGTGTCACTGTCAGGCAAGACCCTATTTAAATCCAGGCACGTCTTGCTCCTGACTGCTGCCCCCGCTTCAAACACAGCCCTCACTTGGTCACACGAGGAAATCCTAGCTGGGGTTATGTGCTGCTCTCATCCCTGACTGGGAAGAGATTTTTTTTTGAGATAGGTCTCAGGTAGCCCAGGCTGGCCTCAATCTCCCCATGTGGCCAAGGATGACCTTGAACTCCTGATCTTCCTGCCTGCACTTCCCAAGTGCTCAGCTGTCAGACATCCTGCTGGGCTGTAATCTCTGCAGAGCCATCAGCAAGCAACAGCTCCTGGCCATCCCAGCCTCTCCCTGGATCTGCAAGCAGTTCCATGGGCACCGGCTGTGGCCTCAGGCCCTGTGCCCCTGCTCCCATCATAAATGCTTGAACCACCTCCTTTCTGACAGAGACCCAGGAAGGTCAGTTTTCATTGACACAATCTAGGGTCACCGGGGAAGTGAGGGACTGCCTGAATTAGGCTGGCCTGTGGGCAGGTCTGTGAGGGGTTGTCTTGACAATCCTGGGGGAGGCCTGGCAGCCCCTTCCCTGATCCCAGAGTCCCATCCCCCACCCCAGCTGGGCCTCACCTTTGCTCCTTGGCAATGTGCTGGCTTTCTTTCCCTCAGGCAGCTTCCCTCCAGCTGATACAGAAGCCTGTTATGGGAACAGTCAGAGGTCAGGCCACTCCCCTTTGATGCATTTGCTGAGGTCAGAGGGAGATGCTGGGGCTTTAAAACTGTATACACAGGACAGGTAGATTTGGTTAAGGACAGTGGACTGTCACATGCATCAGACACAGGAAACTAACGCATGTCTGCTGGAGCACCTTCAACACCCAGCCATTTTAATGGTCCCGCTTCTGTGGGCCATGGAGGTGCCCGCCACTGACTCCCTATGGCTTTCTCAGGATGACTTTTAAACACATAATTTTAGACTTAAGGAGATACCATATTTCTTCACTGGCTTAAGGCTTCAGAGCTTAGTAACAGCAACAGCACCACTACAAGCAAAAGTGGGTGCTAGGGGTGGGGGGATTGTAAAATGAAACTGAAAAGAATGGAAAATAAGTGGGCACCAGACTGCCAGCTACCACAGATAAAGCAGAAGAACGCACGGTAGATGGTGTCGGTGATGGTGTTCGTGCCCTTCTCATTCACCACCGGGGCAGGGAACCCTCCCTGGAGATAAGGAGGCAGCGGGGTAAACAGGAAACTAAAAGCTACTCCTTGCAGAAACCACCCAAGCATATTCAGACTAGCATGAAGAAGTCTGCCAAGTATGCGGGTCACTCTGTGCATCTACATACAATGGCCTGACCGGCTAGGCCAGCATCGGAGCCAGCAGGCTGCAGACTCCCAGTCTGCATAGGTGGTGCCAGCCAGGCCCTTCAGGGCATGAAGAGAATGTGCTGTGACGACCAGAGCAAGCTCTGCTTCCTGCCTGCCTGACAGCTGGGCTCCTGTCTACCCTGGCCTGAATGTTCACACTGGGACTCCTGCTGCAGCCTTGGCTCCAGAACTTGGTGTCACCTTGATCTAAAACTGCTTGTGCCTGTGCTCACCCCTCGACCTAATCTACATAGAAAATACACTAGTGAACATGCATGCACACTCAAGCAGGCCCAGCTCCCTGCTCTGGTGGTGTTCCAATAGCAGGGCTGTGGAACTTGAGTCAGTCCAACCACAGGAACCCACTGGGAATGTAACTGGACTGAGTATGACCAAGGAGCTGAGGGTTAGCTCAGTGGTTAAGAGCACTCGCTGTACTTCCCGAGATCCTGGGTTCGACTCCCAGGGAATCTGATGCCCTCCCTCTTTGGAAGGCTGGCTGGGGGAGGCTTGCCTAGTATGTATGAGCCTTACATTCAACTTCAGCACCAGGAGCTAAAGACCAAAAGCTAGGCCAGGGGTAAAGGTGCTTCCCACTAAGCCAGACACACCAAGTTTGATCTGCAAGACCCATGTAGAGGGTGACAACTAATTCCCACAAGTTGTCCTCTGACAGCCATATGTACAAAGGTTGGCCCAAACCTTGCCCTGAGTGAATAAACATGTAGTAAGTTTTAAAAAGTCACCATGAGTCTCATTATTTCAAAAGCACACCCTTAGCAATTCCAGAATGACAATGCCATGCGCTGAAGCCAGATGCCATCCTCACATGGCGCACTCAAAAGTCTGCGGGAACCCAAGAAGAGCCATGTTTTAAGGAGGGGTTCAGAATTCAGGGTTTTGAGGCCCCCTTGCCAGCACGCCCCCACCCCAACACTGACTCAGGATTCCACGCAGTCAACCCCCAAGCAGATGCTGGGCTCTGGCACATGGAAAGCCTAGGTTCTAGTCTTACCATGACACAAGCCTATGCACACACCTGACTGCTGTGGGACAGTCTTTCTGTACACTGCCTAAGGTGCCTTCTGACTGGCTTAATAAAGAGCTGAGTGGGCAATGGCAAGGCAGGAGAAGACAGGCGGGACTTCTGGGGAGAGGAAAACTCAGGAAGAGGCACTCTCGATTAAGCCAGCAAGATTCTGAGAGTGTCAGACTGTACAGTATGGAGGAGAGAGGTGACGAGTCACATGGCAGAACACAGATGAGTATAAACAGGCTAGTTTAAGTTTTAAGTTTGGGACAAGCCTAAGCTAAGGCCAAGCTTTCATAGTCAATAAGAAGTCTCCATATCATTATTTGGGAACAGGCAGTCTGAAGAAAGCTGACAACACATGACCAGCAATCGGGGTTGGATGCGGAGGCCCCATCTCTAATTCCAGCTTTCAGGAGGCAGAGGTTGATCTCTGTGAGCTCCAGGCCAGGTAGGCATATGTGCAGACACTGTCTCAAAAAGAGAAAGAAAGAAAAGAAAATCCATGCCGGGCGGTGGTGGCCACGCCTGTACTCCCAGCACTGGGGAGGCAGAGGCAGGCGGATCTCTGTGAGTTTGAGGCCAGCCTGGTCTACAGAGAGAGTTCCAGGACAGCCAGGGTTGATACACAGAGACATCTTGTCTCAAAAACAAAAAAACAAAAAACAAAAACAAACAAACAAACAAACAAACAACAAACAGAAAACCCGGAATGAAGTACTGACTGGTCTTTCAAAAACAAATTTAGAAGTTGTGCTCATAGACAAAACTGTTGGCTGCAGCTGCAGACAATGGGACACAAAGGTTGACTACAGAAAACCCTCAGATCTGCAGTGAGAAAAGGTCTGACTCAGAGTATCTCAACAGACATGGCAGCAATGCCCATCTCGAGAAGTTAATGACCAGCAAGCAGGGCCGTGGGGACACTTGGAGGGTCTAAGCTGTTGCTCTTCAATCCTGAGGACCGGAGTTTGAATTCCCAGAACCTACATAAAAACAAATCCTGGAATGGCGTGGGAGCCCCAGGCAAGGGATGAGAGATACAAAAGGATCCTGAGAGCTGACAGTTCAATGAGACCCTGTCACAGGAGGAAAACACCTGACACTTCACTCTGGCACTCCCACAGTCTGAATAACCACTGGGTGGGTTTTGATGTCAAACACACAGGTCCCCAGAGCCAGCTTCTGGAGGAATGGAGACACACATCCCTCATCTGAAACCGGGAATCTGAACCTCAGTAACACTGAACTTCAGATCCAGGTGCTCACCTGCTCAACTGAAGAGGCTTTTCTCAGCATATGATACCAGATCCTCCAAGAATCCTCAATCTGTGAAAGGACTCCACCCTGGACCAGCCTTTCTGAGATCCATTCAGCCTCAGGAGAAAGCAGCAAGCTACCAATACTATGACAACAGACACTCAAGACTCTAGCCAAATCCAGAGGTCACTTGCTGGGGTACCAGAGCCAGAATGCTTGTGTAGACAGATGGGGGCGCTGTGGCCGAGCCTTCAAGGCAGCAACAGGCGAATGGAAGCAGGGCTGAGTAGCTTGGGGAAGCTCCTTCGGGGTGACTTGAGGATCCCTTCCCTCAAGCCAAACTTCCAGTCACAGCCCCAGGACCCTGGGAATCCTCATCACTCTTTCCGGGACACAGGCCAGGCAGAGGTGAACATAATGTTCTGATTATCATAAACCAAGATTAGGAGCAGTAATGACCTTGCCTGTGCTCAGCAGTGTGCCCTGACCTTGCCAGACAACCAGGACCCCGAATGCCTGAGCTCCATGGATGATATGCTAGCAAAGGGATGAACCTACAGTTGCCTGAACTCTCCAGGGCACTCCCTGACCTGACTGCAGCATTTGGGGTACAGGGGACATGGGAGGGGCGTCAGGAAGGCCTGCCAGCCTTGCTTATTGAGGGTTGAAAATATCGCACAGCAAGTTCCAGAAGTGAATGCCACCAAAGTTGGGCATTTCACACCATTCTGGGTGGGATGGCAAAATTTCCCAAGTCAGCTGTGCCTGCTACCCTCACCAAATGCCTGCTGTCAGTGCCTGTCACTCGGGAGCCACCTGGGTTATGGAGGAGATAACGGCAGAGGACAGACTTGACAGAACAGAGGCCCCAAAAGCAAAAGGGGCAGAGAAGGAGGCACGGGCCGTAACATGGAGACTGATGCTGATACCGCTACTGCCAGAGACTCGTGACTGTGCCCGAGCCACGAGGCTGCTAAGGCACCCGACAAAGGCTCCAGGATCCGGCTGTGAGTGCCACGTGGCCTGCATTCCCATCAGCTCACGGGGCTCCAGAAGCAGAGGACTCCGTTACCTTCTTAGTTCTCTTCTCATACTCCAGGTATCTGGACTCAACCACTCTTCCCCCTGCAGGTGACAGGGTTTGTTAGAGAACACAAATACTGCACCATGAAGACACGCAGCAGGAGCAAACTGTACAGTGGCGGGAAAATTACCAGCCCTCCTGCTGCCTGCAGACTGGCTTCTTCAACCTCCCCAGGTATGCACAGGACAGCTACATGCAGAAACCTTTACAGAATACTTAGTGTTCACAAGACACTTAAAGAACACCTCTTGTATGTGGGTCCCTGGAGTAGGAGCAAGTGTCAACTAAGAGCAAAGAAAGAAGCATTCTAGAAACTGAAAGCCAGAGGCCAGTGGGATGGCTCATTGGGTAGAGGGCTTGCCACCAAGCCTGATGACCTGAGTCTGATCCCTGGGAACAACATGGTGGAGAGAAAAAATGACTCCCGAGAGCTGTCTTCTGACCTCCAAGTGTACCATTGTACCCACCCCACCTCCAGTAAATAAGTGTGATTTTTTCCTTGTTGTTTTGGTTTTTTTGAGAAAGGGTTTCTTTGTATAGCTTTGGAGCCTATCCTGGCATTTGCTCTGTAGACCAGGGGAAGGTTCCAGAGCCCAGAAGCATGCAGCCGGAGGCTCTCTCGGGGGAGGGGGTTCTGTCATTCCCAGTTCAGTGTCCATCGGAGACTGAAGGACTGATCCTAGGAAGTGGGGGTAATGGGGTGCCAGGGACTGTAGAGTGGAGGGGAAAGAATTTGACTGTAAATGTGGCAGGACAGGGAGGGGGTGTGGTGAGGCTGTGGCATACTTGGGTCTTGCTGGCTTTGGACTGGGCCAGGCCAAAGGGTCTAGGCTTAGCCACCTTCAAGGGGGCCTGGCTCTGTGTGAGTGTCATGAGGGTCCCACACACGATAAAGGCAGGAGAAACCCTGTCTGGAAAACAAACCCCCTCCTGCTCATTGCCTGTCTCCTGCGTGTTGTCCCCGTCTGCCTACCCCTCTTCTGCACCCCTGATCACAGCAGGACCCCATGATGCCTTTCTCCTGAACCCTGGATCCACCAGCCGCTGTGGGCTCAGGTGCCATACTTCTTTCTCCTTGCATGGTTACTCCAGGCTGGGACAGGCTGGCCTAGGCTTTAGTGCCTCTGGGCACCCCTGTGCCTCGCCCCTCACTGCTAACCAGCAGCTGTTGCTGTCTTCCTTGCCCTGCCTCTCCAGCCACTGACGTCACCGGGTTTCCGTGTGCAATTCCCTCCGGGGCTGGGGATGTCTGCACGCTTGGCTTGTGGCTGCAGCTCGTGTGGGGACGGCACCTGACTGTGTTGCCCAGGCTGGCCTCACACTCCTGGTTTCAGAATCTCCTGCCTCAGCCTCCCTAGTGTGATGACAGGTGTGTGCCACCATGCCAGCTAGAAACAGGGTCAATCAAACACAGGGATCTGAGGTCCTGTCTACTTCCAACAGTGGGGACACCAAAGTTCTGAGTGTCCAATCATCTTGGACTATGTCTAACAGTGGGGGTCTCCATGAAGACCATGTTACTCTGAGGCCATAGCTGTGTTAACAAAACCAGGCAGCATGAAAACTTGTCAGAGAGCCAGCTGGGGCCACTCAGCGGTCAGGTGAGAGCCCACGTTCCATCCTGCCATTGCAGAAAACAGATATCCGCTAGGGAGGTAGCTCAGTGGTTGGGTGCTTGCCTAGCCTATGTGAGCTCCTCCCCCAAAACCCCCACCAGGTCCAGGGATCACTGTGAACACTGAGGGCCTGAGCTCAATCCTCAGGACCCCAACGGTACAAGGAGAGAAACAACTCCCCCAAGTTATCCTTGACCCCCACATGTACGTCACGCTTGCCCCTACCCACCCCCAGTGTAATTAAAAACCAAACAAACAACAACACGGGGCCAAAGAGGACTTGCTGCTCCTCAGGGCATCTGAGTTTGTTTCCAGAACCCACACCGAGCAGCTCGCCAGGTTTCTGGATGGAATTCGGATATGTGGCTTACGCCACAGTAGCACATCATCTGACAAGGAATACAGGTCTGACCTCCAGACCTACATCTTCAGGGACTTCAACTCTCCAAAGACCCACTGCGGCCAAATGACACCTCAGCAACAAGGAGAACTCCGAGTCCCTAGAGGCATGCCACTGAGCAGTGAAAACTTCAGACCTGTTTCTGTCCCCCCTCCCCTCCAAGAAACCCCTTTCATAAACTAGATGGAACATTTATCATCCCAGCAGAAGGGAAGTTGAGGCAGGAGGATCAGGAGTTGACCGGCAACCTCGGCTCCATGAGACTGTTTCTCAGCATGTAAGGCGCTTGCTGCCCAGCTTGATGGCCTGAGTTCAATCCCTGGGCCCCACACGGTAGGACAAACTGACTCCCAAGTTCCCCTCTAACTTCTACACTCATGATATGGCTTGCACATGTAATAAATACACATGTAATAAAAAAATTAAGAAAACAAAAATCGCCAGTGAAGACAGACAAAGCAGACATGCTCCTTAAAATGCTCACCTTGCGCTCTCCTTCCTTTTGTCTTGTGGGCACCAGTGGCAGGGGGTTTCCTGCAAGAGAGGAGAGATGTGTTGTTCACCCAGCTGTGCAGTGGCCGGAGCCACACTCTGCCAGCCGGAGCTGGGCATGGAGGGCTGCCCTTAGGACAGGCAGGAGGTGGTGCTTCCATAGGAAGAGCACAGCTTCCTCCTGAAGGCACGAGAACACTGGCCACAGGCCGACCTCACTGCTAGGACACACTATGAGAGATTCCACCTAGGGCAAGACCCCAGTCTCATCAGGCTGGCGTGACAACAGTCAGACGCATGTCAGGGCTTAGGGCTGGGACCGAGCATTTTCAAGGCCACACAAGCACACATGGGCAACTGAAGGGAGGCAGGAGGGACAAGCCCTGCAACTGGAACTCTCCAGATCTGCCCCTTAGCTCCAGTGGTAGGGAGGAAGTGTCAGGGTGGGGGAGGGGACTGTGGCACAACCTTTCTCAGCAAAGGGTCAGTTTTCTAGGCTCCCCAGTCACTGTTAGGATCACCAACTATTCAACTTTGCTATCAAGGCTGACACAACGGATGGACCATGTGGCAAGAAAACTTTACTGATAAAGCATGTTTGGGTTCACACAATGTTCATGTGTCACAAAATAGTTGTATTCCTTGAATATACTTTATTTTTATTTATTTTGTTCATGTATGGTGTTATGTGAGTACAGGTATCATGTACCAAAGCCTGTGTGTGCCATGATGCCTGCACAGAGGTCAGGGACAATCTCAGTGCAGGTCACCTTCTGCCTTCTCATCCGTGGCTGAGAAGCTAGAGGCTTTAGAAAAGCTGTTTCAGGAACAGCTAAATGCTGGACATATTGAAGAATCCAACAGTTCGTGGAACCCTCCTGTATTCATTATCAAAAAGAAGTCTGGTAAATGGAGAATGCTTACTGGTCTGAGAGCTATCAATAAAGTTATTCAGCCTATGGGCTCTCTACAGCCTGGGATGCTATTACTTTCTCTGATACTTAAAAGATGGCCAATTTTAGTAATAGATCTAGAAAATTGCTTCTCCATTATACCTTTACAAGAAAAGGGTAGGGAAAAATTTGCTTTCACAGGGCCTACCTATAACAATTCTCAACCAGTTAGGAGACTTCAATGGAAGGTTTTGCCACAAGGAATGTTAATAGTCCTACTTTATGCCACTATTTTGTGCAAAAACCTTTGGAAATAATTCGCAAACTATAATTTATCATTATATGGATTGACATACTGCTGGCTTATTAGAAGGAAGGAATGTTGGAAAAGATGTTTTGAGGCATAGCTGGGTGTTGGTGGTGCACGCCTTTAATCCCAGCACTCGGGAGAAAGAGGCAGACGGATCTCTGTGAGTTCGAGACCAGCCTGGTCTACAGAGCGAGTTCCAGGACAAGCTCCAAAACAATACAGAGAAACCTTCTCTTGAAGAACAAAAACAAAAAAACCCTGATGGGGAAGTCCTGTGTGTATGTCAATAAAGCACTGTTGGTCAATAGGGAAGCAAGATAGGTGGGACTAGGAGTCCAGGAGGACTCTGGGTAGGAGAAACACAGGGAGTCAAGATGTAACCGCCATAGGGGTAAGAAGCCCGGAAACTTTTCTCGGGTAAGAGAAATACTTAGATTAACAATTATGGGGTAAATACTTACATCAGAGCTAGCCAGTAAGAAACAAGCAAAGCCAACAGCTTCATAATTAATACAGCGTCTTGTGTGTTATTTGGGGACTACAACTTGGCAGGGCCCAGGCGACTGGTGAGGAAAAACTAAAGCGGCTGGCAAGGAAATGGCTTTTTCTCTACAAAACCCCAAACAAACAAACAACAAACAAACAAACAAACGATGTTTGAGGCAGTAAAGAAAATTTTACCTCACTGGGGATTAAAGGTTGCCCCAGAAAAAATACAAAGAGGAGATTCTATTAATTATTTAGGTTATAAAATAGATCTACAGAAAATTAGATGGCAAATAGTACAGCTCAGGAAAGATCATTACCAGGCTCTTTTTTTTTGGTTTTTATGAGACAGGGTTTCTCTGTATTGTTTTGGAGGTTGTCGGTCCAGCCCAGCCTCGAACACAGAGATCAGCCTGCCTCTGCCTCCCGAGTGCTGGGATTAAAGGCGTGCGCCACCACCGCCCAGCCATTACCAGACTCTTAATGATCTTCAAAAACTACTAGGAGAAATTTCTTAACTACAGACAATTACTGGAGTAGAAGGACATGATTTAAAACACCTGAAAATGGCCCTAAAAGGAGACAAGGACTTAAATAGTCCACAAATACTATGAGCTGAGGCTGAAAAAGAATTAGAGTGGGTAGAAAAGAGAATATTAGAAGCACATGTGGCCCATGTGGATCCAAAACTGGAGTGCATTCTGGTTATTTTACCATCTAGAGAATACCCCTCAGGAATTTTAATGTAGAGGGAAGATATCATACTAGAATGGGTATTTCTGCCACATAAACAGAATAAAAAAACTGAAAACATATATAGAAAAGATCTTTGATTTGATATTAAAAGGTAAGTTAAGGCTTCGTCAACTGACTGGAAGAGACCCAGCAGAGACTGTACCTTCAACTAATGTGGGAATTTCCTCCTTATGGAAGGATAATGAATATTGGCAAAGGGCTTGCAGTAACTTTTTGGGAAAGATTAGTAACAATTATCTCAAAACAGAGAGAATAAAATTCATAAAGAAAACAATTTGGATTCTTCCCCGTATTGTGTAAGAAAAACTCCAATTTCTGGAGTTCTTACATTCTACACTGATACAAACAACTCAGGTAAGGCAGGTTGTAAATCAGGAAAAATAAGTAAAGTGGTTCAAAGCCCTTACAACTCTGTACAAAAGGTAGAGTTGTACGTCATTCTCATGGTACTTATGGATTTTACAGAACCTCTCAATATAGTTATGGATTCTCAGTATGCAGAGAGAGTCATCTTACACATTGAGACTGCAGAATTTGTTCCTGATGATACAGAATTAACCTCATTGTTTATACATTTACAGGAAACCATCAGAAATAGAACTCATCCTATATATATAGGTAACACATGAGATCCCATACGGGTCTGCCAGGTCCTCTAGCACAAGGTAATGATGAGGAAGTGTGTTGGAAGTTTCAGAAGAAACACCATGTTAACAGCAAAGACTTAAAGAAGGATTTTTCTATCACTTGGCAACAAGCCAAGGAAATAGTAAGACACTGCCCCACCTGTTCATTCTATAATCAAACTCAATTATCAGCAGGCAGTAATCCCAAAGGCATTCACAGAAATGAAATTTGGCAAATGGATGTACTTCACTTTCCAGAATCTGGAAGTTTGAATTACATACACCACACCATAGACATATTCTCAGGCTTCCAATGGGCTACTGCTCTTAGCTCTGAAAAGGCTGATCCTGCTATCACACACCTCTTAGAGGTGACGGCAGTTATGGGTATACCTGCACAAATAATAACTGACAATGCTCCAACATATGTCTCCAGCAACTGGAACACCTTTTCAAATATTATAACATAAAACATGTAACTGGTATACCTTACAATCCTACAGACAAGCAGTGGTTAAAAGATCTAACTGTACCCTAAAAGAAATGCTTCATAAACAGCCAGGGGGAACAAAGACCCCCAAACACAGATTACATAATGCTTTATTAACATTACACTTTCTTAATGCTAATGAGAAAGGATACCCAGCTGCAGAAACACACTGGACTACAGAAAAAAGCTTCTGAATAAAACCAGCCGGTGTATTTCAAAGATGTTATGACCTCAGTTTGGAAACCAGGATATGTGTTACGCTGGGGAAGGAGTTTCACCTTTGTTTCCACAGGAGAAGAGAGGCTTTGAATTCCATCAAAATTGATCAAGATCTGATCCAAACAGGAGAAATCTCTGGGAGAGGAAAGATGACAGCTCACCCACAAAGTCATATTCTACTATGGCAAGGAGACCTCACAAAGGGAAAGAGTTTTGTTTTTTTTTTTTTGCTTTTGTCTTCACAGGAAAACCTATCTCCAAACACCAAAAATACTGAATGTATGGATACCTGAAGAAGAGAGGATAGCTACCCAAAGGACCATCAAACAAACAAACAAACAAGAATCTAAATTGGTATTAATGTCTGACTCTCTCAGCCTTGTTCTTATTAATATCTGTTTCTCCTTACTTCCTTCCTAATACTCTTTTTGTCCCAATTAACTTAAACTGAAGCTGGCTTTGGAGCTGGATTTGGCTCTCCTCCTCTAACTCCAAGCATGTTGTTAAAATACATTCAGAATTTCTTTATTATATCAAGGAGCCATTGATTAAGACAGAAGAAAACGAAATCTAGGGACTGTCATCTGTTTATACTTGGTTCTTTCTCTAAAAGTCTAATTTCCCTCACATTTACCATCTCCCTTATTGTTGCTTTTCCCGGTATGCATACATATAAAAGTTGAAAATTTCCCTGTTAACATTAACATTTGAGTTTTCCACAAAAAACAAGGAATTTCCTAACAACAGTCTTCAAAAGCTTCGGAAAGAAGATGGGGCCCCACATCATGGACTCCACCTGACAAGTACCATCCTGAAACTGGTTTGGAACTAGATAGCTTCATACAACTCTGGACCAATGAACTGATATAGTGCATCTTCTACAATCCGGCCAGAGCCTCAGACAAGAACTTCAATTAAGATTAGAATCTCAGTGAAGCACTTCAATCAAGCATCTCCTGCTAACAGAGACTGAATGCAAATAAGACTTTCATTTCACTAACATTTTTTTTCCTACAGGATCCCATGAGGTTGTCGTCATTCCATTTCAGCAGGAAGTAATTTCCCTACTTTTGATATTGCAGGATAGTTTACACCTATAGGGTCAGTTTTCAATCATTTAGCGTTGGAATTGGAAGGAGGTGTTCAGACTTGGACATCTCCATGGGGTATGAACTGCCGTATGCAGTAAGCCAAGGCTTCCAAGCAAGCTGCTCCTTCACTACCACACTTTCGGCATAGCTGTCCCTAAGTGTGG